CCTTTAATGTATTTAATTCACTTTGAAATTTACTAATGTTTTCCATTTGTACTTCTTGCCACTGTTGGAGACTTTCTTTCTGTTTCCTTTCTCGTTCCAGTTGCCACTGCTGTAATCTCTCTTGTTTCTTTTCTCGTTCTTCTTGTCTCTTTTCTTTTTCCTCCAACAACTGCTGTAATCTCTCTTTTTTTTTATTTCTTTTTTCCTTCAACAACTGCTGTAATTTCTCTTCTTGTTTCTTTTCTCGTTCTTCTTGTTTCTTTTGCTGTTCTTGTATTGCTGCCATCAAATCTGCTAAGCCGCTTCTTGTTTCCATTTTCTTTCTTTTTTTTATCCCACTTCTGACACCAATTTGTTACATCTCTGGTTGTTAGTTAATTTCCCATATAATTTCTTTCCAATGAAACTTTAGAGACACAAGTCCTTTCTTAAATAAAACTAGTTTATTCTTTCTCAATACAACTTTGAAATTCACTTAATTTCCACGATCACGCTATAAGTTAAACAAATGCTATAATTCACAACAAACGACTCACGAGCTCGACCCAACTGTCCGTCTCTATCTCTGTCTGCAATTCAACTACATTATTGCTGTCACTTCTTGGCAGTCTTATATACAAGAATACCGCATATCTAGTAAACACTCGAGGCTTCAGGAAGGGACATGAATTTTCTAGAAGCTCATGACGTGTTATTAGCGTCACGTGACTTCCGCTGTTGTAACAATATTTACAGACATTCCCATAACTTGTGACTCAGTCATTACATAGATATTGTTATAAAAGGAAACACTATATAGTATTGTAAAGTTCTGATGACCTATTTGTATGAACAATCTGAGCTTTCATTACATAAGTAGTGCTACCATCTGCCTGATAATCTGTTGTTCCAGAAACAAGAGTTTAAAAGTTTTCAAGAAGGATGGTGTGGTTCTTATTCTCACTATGTGGTCAGATATAAATTCAGGTGGATTAGTTAGCTTATATCTACTTATAGCTGATGCTTCCATATACAAAATCTGTGTGCACTTGAAAGTGATATGTAATTTATGGGTATAGATAGCTTTCAACTACCACAAGTGTATTCATATATGATCTATGAGTGTATAGGGATGGGTAGAGTGTCTTTGGTTTAAAACAAGCTTTGATTTTTAAATGTTGACTTAAATACAAAATGTAGCATAATTTGAGTGTAATATAGCTTGATTATTTATGATTTGAGTTTAAAACTTTGTTAGTCCATGAAAAGAGTGATAAGAGCTATCAGAGATTTCTAGATGTGTGGCTTCTTGGTAGGTTATATGTTATTTGTTAAAAATGTTCCTGCTATATGATATAATGCAAGAAATTACGAATATAGCCATTACTTTGTAATATGTTATGAGTTTTTGGGAATTTCAGAGTGAAGAAAAAAGTAGTCACAACATATGTTATATGCTCTGTTTAGGAGATTTAAAACAAGGTTACATTTGAAGGAGTATGGTATGAAACTGTAGGAACAAGTGTGTAAGCCAGTAAAAGTTTTCTTACAGTAAACAGATGTGGCAAAAGTGTGTTTATTTTGTTAACTTGAATGTCATAAAAAGCTAATTTATTGTTTTCTTCCATCTCAGATGTAAAGTTTATATATGGATGTTGTGATCTGTTTTTATATATACTAAAACTTCTTGGCATGATCAGTGTTGTGAAAATGTCAAAAAGCATCATCAGCATATCATCTATATAATACTAGTTTGTAATATAGAGAATTTATCCAGCCACTGACAATCGTAATAACAGAAAAAAAATTTGCAAGAGTCACCTAGGGGTGATTCCATTGCCTACCCCATCTATATAGTCAATAAAACTGCACATTAAAAATGAAGTGATTATACCTGAAACCATATTCAAGAAAATGTTTGAATTTTTGTTGGCTAAAATTAGAGTGCAGGACATCTGGCTTAGAATAATTAGTTAGTAATTATTTGAATTGTTTCTTCAAATGAGATGTTAGTGAATAAGGATTGAATCTCAAAGCTACCTATATCAAATTATATGCATAAGGGACTTAAATATCTCTGTAGGAAAGGCAAAAGAGTCTTCAACAGTAAATTCATTCTCAGCTAGTGAGCTTAGTGCAGGTACAAGATATTAAGCAAGTTTGTAGGTGTGGGAACCAAGAGTAGAATAGGTCTGAGTTGTTTATTTTTGGTAAGCCATGTATAAAACTGGGATAGGAACCTTTAGAATGAAGTTCTGTAAAAGTGTTGTCAGAGATGAGTTTACAATTTTTAAATATTTTAAAGTTCATTGAAGTTTTTTTCTCATGCTTAAAAGTAAGGTTAAGCCAGTCAAGGAATTTAAATTTTTACCCTCAAATTAAGCTACTTTTGGTATTTAAATGAACATTTATTCAAAGCTTGTTTAAAACCCAAAACACTCTACCCATCCTTATGTACTTATAGATCATATATAAATACACTTGTGGTAACTAAAAGCTACCTATATAGGTAAAGCTGCACATTATCTACAAGTACACACACCTTAATATATGGGAACATCAGCTAAAAGCAGATATAAGCTAACTAGTCCACCCGAGTTTTGTAACTGACCACATAGTTAGAAAAAGAACCACCCCATCCTTCTTGAAAACTTTTAAATTCTAATCTCTGGAACAACAGATTACAAACTCTTTACTAATAAAATACTCCCCATTTTTATTGATCATCCAACATTAGATAATAACATCAATTCCTCCCTGTTGTCGTTAATTTAATAAATTCCAGATTCCCAGTGTTATTATAAATTTGATTTTGTTTTTTAAAGTTGCAGTGTTTATACTTATATTTAAGCCTTTCTTTGTAATGTTTTCTCTTAACAATATCATCAAACACATACCTGCCTCACATTATATTGTACATTCTGTTATATTACCTTTTAAATCTGTATTCTTTGTGAACTCTTAGTTGTATCTAAACTTCTCACTTAATAGTTAATGTTGTTCTTTGTAGTTAGAATAATGTAAACTAACCTTTTGAGGTTTTAATACTAATGATGGAATTTGAAACAATTCCAAAACGTCCGTATTAAAGATGTTTTTTGGTATTACCATGTTTTAATATTTATTAGAAAACTTAATTTTTCCACCTGATGAATCAGTTGTAGATATTATAATAATTTTTAATACAATTATACTTTATTCAGTATATTTCTAATGAAGATGTTTAAGTCACTTATGTTTTTCTAGCTAAAACCAAAATCACATTAGCTCCTGAGAATGTTGAAGTTAGCATTAACAAGAAGGCAGTGCTTCACTGTAAAGCTGAAGCTGATCCCACTTTAACCTTGGCTATTAAGTGGCTTTTTAATGGAGAGCCTATAGACTATCATCTAGATACACGGCTAAACCAGACACAAGATCAATCTCTTGTTATCAACTTGGCTAAAGACAGTGACTCTGGGATTTACACATGTATTGCTGAAACATTCATAGATAAAGACTCTGCATGGGCAAATTTGATTGTTCAAAGTAAGGCAAGAAAATTTTGACAAATATTCAGTATAACATAGTGTATGTCTTATGAAGGTTTTTAAATATACCCAAATATGTTATCTCAAAAACTAAATCTTACTTGTAGTAATAGATAGATGTGAGTTTTCAACTACTTTTTACCACTGAAGTTGACTCTCTAAGGAACATTAACTCTCTAATACTATATTGTAACAAAATTGTTTGTAATTATTCAATAGTCAATTATTGTTCATGAAATGCAGTTATTAGTGTTAGTTTTATTTATCAACATATAAATTTAATTACATATTTATTATATTTGAAACAAAAGGCATTTTGTGTTAAATTATTTTCCTATAAACTTTTAACTAATTTGTAATAGGTATTCTGAAAAATATTCCATATACTTGTTTCTCACATATAGGTGTTACAGAATATGTAATGTATACACAACATCACTTAACTCCTTATATTTTCTTATAGTCTTGCAACAAAACGTTTGCAGGGTTCTTAAGCCTTGCACTACAACATTAGGTTAGGTTAGGTTAGGTGACTTACTGAAATGCTTTCACAAACCAAGTAGAGTCTGTTGTGTTTGAAAATGTTTAAGAATATTTCACCGACTTAAGGAAATAATCATTGACTGCCAAGTATTATCTATGTTTCTAACTCTTGTAAAATTTTATTGCCATTCAGATGTACCTAAACCTCCAGTTTTAAAAGAAGTCGAGTGTGAAGTTCATGTGGCTGATATTCAATGGGAACCAATGGGAAATGGTCATGCACCTATCCTGGGTTATGATATTCAATACAATACTAGTTTTAACCCTAATCTGTGGGAGAATTCATTTTTGAATGTGCCAGCCACGGACACTCGTTTTAAGGTGAGCTTGTGTATTACCGACATTCATTATCAACTTGAACCATTAAAAACATTAATTCTTATGAAAGCTAAACAGCTGATAGAATATATATTAAATGTGTTATCCGTATCATTTGAGTAGAGTATACATTTTTATAGCCAATAATACGTGATGCTAAATAGAATATTACTGCTTAAAAAATACAGATTCAAATGTCTAAATATACTATGTATAAAAATTTGTTTTTCTTATACAATAACTACATATTATTTGAAATTCTTTTAAACCTCCAAATAAAGATTTACTTTCCTTGTGATTTTTTCTTCTTATACATTTTTTTCAAATATAGCAGTTGCAGCTATCTGTATTTCTATGTTTTTTGTAAAGTAAGATCCAATTGCATTTGTTTAAAAACAATTCACTGAGTTAATAGTTTTCCTCTGTACTGTAAACTATTTACGTAGTCTGTGTTTATTTATTCTGTACTTTTAAGTAACCCCGGTTCAAAGTATGTCTGATTGACTAATATTCCAAACATGCCTGTAGTATACAGTAAAGCACCTTTAAAATGAATTGTTTGACTCTGAATGTTTCAGGTACTTATGTCCCCATGGACTAACTACACTTTCAGAGTGGTTGCATTCAACAAGATTGGTTCCAGCCAACCAAGTGAACATTCCAAACAGTGTTCTACACCACCTGATACTCCTCATAAACATCCAACAAATGTTAAGGGTGAAGGGACAAATCCAGATAACATTGTTATATCATGGAAGGTATTGTTTGTTTAATTGTTCTTAACCTAATGCTTTTGAGAAAAGTACATGCTTCTAAAGCTTCTATATATATATATATTGATTCTCTGTTACAAAAAAAAATCATTGTTCTACTGAAATGCATGTAAAATGAAACTAGGTTTTAAACCACTGTAAAAATATATATTTATTGTAGTTTATCATCCCAAATAAATATAATAAAAATTACAATTTAAAGTTCTGTAAAGTAATTAAAACTACATTTTTGAGTTGTTATCTTTCCAGTTCAGATGAAAATTTACCAAAACAACAGGAACTAGAGCATATTTTATCTCTGAAGTTTTTGAAAACTGTAGATCAAAATAAAAAACAAAGATGTTTTGTTTTAAAATATTTTTATGAATATATAAAAATAATGTGATTTTGTTAATGGTTAAGCTGTATATAAATACAAATAACTTTTTTATGCAAATGGCTATTTATACCTAAGTATTTAAAAGTTGTATTTCTTTTGTAAATGGGAAATAATACTTATATTTGGAAATCTTGGTAATTAGCCTAAAGTTGCAAATACAAAGTTCACTTAAAATATGTTAATTTTATTGATTTCAGTTGATGACAAACACCTTGTGTTATTAAAGACTGTTATGCAATATGATGAAAACATTGCTTTAATTTTGTATTATTTTTCAACATAGTTTTAAAAATATGTTAATTTGTTTTGTGTTCTAAAATGAAAACTTTGTGTGAATTATTTTCTATCATCTTCAATGTGCTGAATAAATGAGAATTAATACTTCTCTATTATCTTCTTGTTATTTGGTATTTTCAAACTGAATGTCATCTTTTATAGCAAGGGGGTAAATTACCTGATCAGAGATCCCAAGGTTGAAGCACAACAACCATTTAGCAACTCCTCTCACCAAATAGAAGGATTGATTGTGTCGCCTATAAGTTACCCACAGCTGGGAATGTTGAGCATGTTCAGTGGCATATTTTTGGTTCAAACGTCAGATCTTTGACCTGTAGCCTGGCACACTAACCACTAGGCAATGCCCAACCCATATATTATCATATATTATGTTCAGTTTGCTGAGTGAATGTGACTTAAGACTTGTATATTATCTTCTGTTGTGCTTAATGAAATTGTCAATCTGTATCACACGTTCAGCCAAATGATCACACCAGAGATGACATAGTGTATTGTAAGGACTGAAATTGTTCATTTGTTAATTTTCTCGATTCACTGCTACACCAAATTCACGACTCACCAATTCTGCTTGGAAGAGCAAAGCAAATAAATAGAGTATGATGCATATGGTGGTAGAATATAAGCAATTTGTTCCTTGTTTCATGTAGATCTCATTAGATTCACCAGATTGTGTTATCTGTTCTTAAACTAAAACACCAGTGGTAGACTCTAAAATATCAACCATTGGATAAGTTTTGGCCAACTTGGTAAAGTACTCATGCCAACTAGCACATACTTATTATCTTTTGCACTTTTGGCAGAAGAGCACTATATCTAGAATGATTTTCTGTAAAAGAGAACCTACAACTTTCTGTTGGAGTTTTTTTTTTGACAGTACACAAGTGTAAGTGTTACAGAGGCTGCGATTCTGTGACTTGTTATTAATAAATGTCAATAATAAATGAACACACAATCCACTTGTTTTAAAGTAATATATTCAAAACAAGTTAAATGTATGCACACAAAAAATTATTTACACTATAGCAGTCCTTTCCAAATTTTTTTTATGGCGACACACTATGTACGTACAAAATATAATTAAATACCACAAACACGACTATAAACTTGTATAAATTGGCACGTTGGAGTCCCCACTTTACCTGCCACTACACAAGGCTGCATCGGCAAACCTTTTTTATGTCGCGGACCCAAAAAGAAATATATAAAACATTAGATAATTTTTTTGCATGCTACACTGGGTAGCACCTTTAAAAATATAAATTTTGTAACAGCTACAAATAAAAATTTTGACAAATCATTTTGTGCAATTTCCGAAAATATGGCAACACTGCTCAGGGTACGATGTGGTGCCCCAAGATGTTGCAATACCCACTTTGGAAAGCACTGCCCTATGGGTTATCACTGTTGTATCTAGAACTTTAAATGAATCTCTTTTTCATCAAAAGTTTATACAGAACCTTATTGACAAGACAGATTATTTTTTCTCTCCTCTGCTATCACAATGCAATCAGTGATAAATTCACTTATGTTACCTTGTGGGGTACCACAGTTGTAGTCAGAGCTTTAAATAATTCTATTTTATGTCAAACTTCTATGCAGGCTGGTTCAGTTCCTTTACAACCCTATTGACAAGACAAATTCTACTTCTCTATCTGTGAAACTTTGACTTTAGAAATTGCCCATTATGGTTAAACTGAAATCATGCAGTCTAACTTCAACTTTTTACTGTCACTAACTTACTTTCCTTTGACTACCTTAACTTACTTCTCTATGTATCTGCACATATTTATAACATGTGACAGAAAAATATAGAAATATCTAGCCCTCTAGTAACAACAATGAGAAAAACTTAAAAGCTTTGAGTAAGATGACACCAACAATATTACAAACGCCTAGCACAACAGTTAAACCACACACACAATGTATGACTCGTACAGAGTTATGTAACAAAACTTGTCATAACTATCACTTTAAAAATAATTAACTTTTAACACTCTTGTTATTAAAACTAAATAATCATCGAATAAACTAAATTATAACTCTTAACCTGAACAGTCTTGTATACCCAACAACAAGGCACAATGCCTACAACATCTTTTAATGTGTCTTTTGTGTGGCCAGAATCACTGCTTCTGCATATTTACAATGACGATGTGTAACATTCCTTAGTACTCTCTAGTCTGTACATCATGTATCTTCTGCCTTACAGCTGTAAGGACCCCTCTGCATCAGATGTTGGCTACCATATTTCAGTGGTTCATAATGATGATACAACACATCATCCTGCTTTTGTAACTGATTATGCAAGAGCCAGATGTTGTGTATCATTATAGTGCAATGTCCATTATGTGATGGTTACACTTCACATTGCAAGTAGCACTTAAGCTATGTCTGAGACCTTCATTTCTTCTTTCCAGAGTTCCTGCTTAGTCACTCCTGGTGCCCACCTACAGATAAAATTACCACCGCCCATGTGATTCATTGCCACTTCTGCTTCAATGGCTTTGACTGTTACATGGTGTCCAGGATCTGGACATTTCATGAGGAGACGTACTCTTATCAGTTGGCAAAATAATCCATTAACATTTCTGTTCTGCTTACCAGAATGATAACCTGCAATGAAGCTGTACTTTTGCAGCTTCATCATTGAATGTGCAATCATAACTTCCAAGTTCTTGAACCATTTCACTGATTCAAGGTCATTTTAAATATTGAACTTTTACCACAATTAGTGGTGGTAAGTTTTGAAAAATACTACAACTGCAAGCAGTTCCTTTTTTGTCATTCAAGAAATGTTAATGCAGGGCTAGAATATGCAATTAAATGCTTCAAGCTCTCCTGTATTTGTGACAAAACCTCTCATTAACTGGCATCAGTATCCAAGATGAATGTACTTGTCTAGTACAGACTGGAATGCTTGATCATATTAATGCACCTCTTCAAGAATAGCTGCAAAACTCCTTGACCCAGGAGATGGCTCTTAGTAGTCTTTTCTGCATTGTCAAACTTGTGTCTCCAGCTAAACTGCTGGTTTCTTCTTTCCACTTTACATTGTTAATGGTCTCAGAAAGTGCCCTTCTGTGATTACAGTCTAAAAACTATACAGTAACAAGAGGATCAAACAGAACAGAGGACAATCTATAGAAAGCAAACTCTGCAAAAACAAGTTCTGGTTACAGCACTAAAGGGGAAATTCATCTGTTATATCCAGGTTTAACAGGTAAGTACAAAGTATCACAATAATGAGAGGGTTGGAAATATTTGTTTACAAGCAAACAAAATGAAAAACAGACAGCAAAGTAAGAGTCAAACACAAGTAAATAGGTGATAATTTTTATCCTGGACACAAAACAAACCTAGCTTGGTGGTCTCTTAACTGGTTCAAACAACCTGGCTGTTGGAGGTACAACAGAAAGGCTACTTACATCGGTGATTATTCCCACAACTGATATTCAAGAGGAGATTAGCTTCCAGCTCACATAGACTTGTACAAATATCTGTACCAACCATCCTGTCTATGACTCACACCTCAAGAAAGAAATGACAAGGATCATGTTCAAGCAATTATAAGCTCTATAAAATGGCACTGTAACCTTAGCCCAAGGTTATGATTAATACAAGTTTATGACCTTTCTCATCTTGTTAACTAATTGTAGAACACCTATGTGAAACTTTTGTATGAATATACATGAATAAATATATATATTTTTGTGTTCAGTATGCTATGTATGTGTGAATTAAATTATTTTTTTCCTTTTGAATAATTTTTAAAATGTTCATTTCAAAATGAGAATTGTCAGCTGCTGCAATTTTTTAAAGCAGTATTTATAAACATTTTGCTAGATTTATATAAGTTTAAAGACTATTTTATATATTTATCATTTAGCTTATGCCCAAAATTGAGCACAATGCCCCTGGGTTTTTTTACAAAATTTTCTGGAAAAGAGATGATGTCCCCGATTCTCATTGGAATGTAGTGACTGTTAGGGACTGGAAACAAGAGAGTTTTTTGGTGGATGAACAACCAACTTTCAAACCATACAAAATCAAGGTTGAAGCACATAATGCCTTGGGTCGAGCTAAAATAACAGCTCCAGAAATTATTGGCTTCTCTGGAGAAGATGGTTAGTTTATTTCCATTTTTATTGTAAACTGTAAAATTAAAATATTTTAGTCCCCTGAAAAAATTAACCTCTCCTTATGAACATAATTTTTCTAGTTCAATACTATTATTTTTCTGCAAGGTTCGTGTGTTTTGTTGACTTATAGTGTTAATAGAGTGTTTAGTATGAATAAACTTCAAAATTGCTCTTAGAAAAAAGGTTTCTTGGTTTTATTTAAAGTGCAGTACCTTGTAAATTTTAATAATGTTTTTAAATTTAAGATTATAAAGATTTGTTATTCTAATGAGCATATATAATTGTATAAAGTTAAAGAAACTAGTATTATTCTAAAAAGTATGCTCATTGGCCTAAAGTTTTTGTATACTTCTAAAGTCTGTTTTTCATTTAAAGTTATAAAACTGGAACAATTCTGTTGGTTTAGAATTATAAATTTTATGTATTTCTAAAAGTGTACTTAAAGTAATAAAACTAGAAAAGCACTGATAAATGTATTTATATAAAATTGGATTAGTTCTAATGAGCATATCTATTAGTTTATTAAAGCAGTTCTGAGACATTTCTGTTGGTTCAAGGTTATTAAATTAGTGTGTTTCTAAAGAGTTTATTATTGGTTTATTAACGTTATAAGACTGGCTCATCCTGATAAGTGTGGGTATGGTGGGAACTAATAGTTAGTATTCCAAACTGTGAATCTGATAATGCATGGTTTGTGCCATTGCCACAAAATTTTGCTTCTCATTTCAGAGCAATGGATGCAATGTAAGAGTGGCTATCAAATTCCATTATTGAATTAAAGTAGCTCAAGAGTTGGCAGTGGGAGCTCTTGATGATATCTGAAACTAACTTATAAATGTGTTTCTTATAAATTTTTAAACACTGGTGTAATGCTAAAGAGGGTATTTTTTGTCTTAAAACTGAAAAAGATTTGGAAAAGATATTTCCTGGTGTAAAGTAATGTAATAAATTGTGAAGTCCTTGTGAAAGCTTTTGGTATGTGATTTTTGAATTGCAGGATTTAAGTAATTTCAATGAAATTTTTAGCTTGGGTAGTAAGCAGTTGGTGTGATGCAGATGGATGCTAGTTAAGTGAAGTAACTGAGATTAAAATTTTTTTTAACTAAGTGTCACTTATAGTAGCCATATATTTTGAAATGTTTGTTATCCTGATACTCTATAATGGATTATTTATTTCAATGATACTCATTGCTCATTAGTATTTCAGTAATGATGTAATATTTTAAATAAAGGGTTTTTGTAACATTTTAAATGTATAAATATGTGTATTTTACCCTTCAGTTCCACTTGAAGCTCCTCAAAACTTTCGTTTGTTAATGATAATGGATGGTACAACAGCAAAATTTGCTTGGAATGCAGTTTCTTCAACCTCAATAAGAGGACACTTTAAAGGTTACAAAGTAAGGAAACCAAAAATTCTTGTTTGGATAATTCCACATAACCTATAGTCTGTTCTGTTAATTTATATTTTCAAGTTATGTTAAGCTGGCCTCTGTATCACAACACCCATGAACAATTAGTCAGACAACTATTAAAACATACTGATAACACTTGAACACTCCAGAGTAGATGGTGCTTGCTGCAGTAGCTTGATTTGGGGATGGGCCTGATATGCTGAATAAGAATAACAGAAACCATACTAAATTCGTTCTATAACAAGTTTTGAAAATCTTCTGTCATTTCAAAAAATGCAGTTCTGAATAACATGTTTTTGGTTTATTAAAGTTATAAAGTGATACAATTGTGAAGAACATGTTTGGTTTATTATAGATATGAAGCTGGTCCAGTTTTAAAAAATGTTTGTTGGTTTATTAAATTTATGAAGCTGGTCTTGTTCTAAAGAATGTTTATTAGTTTGTTAAAGTTGTCTTGTTTTAAAGAATGTTTGTTGATTTATTAAAGTTATGAAGGTGGTCTTGTTTTAAAGAATGTTTGTTGATTTATTAAAGTTTTTAAGCTGGTCTTGTTCTAAAGTATGTTTATTGGTTTGTTAAAGTTGTCTTGTTTTAAAGAATGTTTGTTGATTTATTAAAGTTATAAAGCTGGTCTTGTTTTAAAGAATGTTTATTAGTTTGTTAAAGTTATGAAACTGGTCTTTTTTTAAAGAATGTTTGTTGGTTTGTTAAAGTTATGAAGCTGGCCTTTTAAAGAATGTTTGTTGATTTATTAAAGTTTTTAAGCTTGTCTTGTTCTGAAGAATGTTTATTGGTTTGTTAAAGTTATGAAGCTGTCCTTTTAAAGAATGTTTGTTGATTTATTAAAGTTTTTAAGCTTGTCTTGTTCTGAAGAAGGTTTATTGGTTTGTTAAAGTTATGAAGCTGGCCTTTTAAAGAATGTTTGTTGATTTATTAAAGTTTTTAAGCTTGTCTTGTTCTGAAGAATGTTTATTGGTTTGTTAAAGTTGACTTGTTTTAAAGAATGTTTGTTGATTTATTAAAGTTATGACGTTCGTCTTTTAAAGAATGTTTGTTGATTTATTAAAGTTTTTAAGCTGGTCTTGTTCTAAAGAATGTTTATTGGTTTGTTAAAGTTGTCTTGTTTTAAAGAATGTTTGTTGATTTATTAAAGTTTTTAAGCTGGTCTTGTTCTAAAGAATGTTTATTGGTTTGTTAAAGTTGTCTTGTTTTAAAGAATGTTTGTTGATTTATTAAAGTTATAAAGCTGGTCTTGTTTTAAAGAATATTTGTTGATTTATTAAAGTTATGAAGCTGGTCTTTTAAAGAATGTTTGTTGGTTTGTTAAAGTTATGAAGCTTGTCTTGTTTTAAAGAATGTTTGTTGATTTATTAAAGTTATGAAGCTGGTCTTGTTTTAAAAAATGTTTGTTGATTTATTAAAGTTTTTAAGCTTGTCTTGTTCTAAAGAATGTTTATTGGTTTATTAAATTTACAAAGTTTGTCTTGTTTTAAAGATTGTTTGTTGGTTTGTTAAAGTTATGAAGCTTGTCTTGTTTTAAATAATGTTTGTTGGTTTATTAAATTTACTAAGTTTGTCTTGTTTTAAAGACTGTTTGTTGGTTTATTAAAGTTACGAAGCTGATCTTGTTTTGAAGAATGTTTGTTGGTTTGCTAAAGTTTTGAAGCTGGTTTTGTTTTAAAGAATGTTTGTTGGTTTATTAGGACTAAATAACTGGTGCAGTCTAAGAAATGTGTTTGTTAGTGGTGATTCTTTAAAAAGGCAGTTTTATGGACCATTAGAGTTGGGTTTAATTTCGTTTTTATTTGTTCCCAAGAGTACTCCTACTCTGAACCTTGTTAAGATTTCTAGACCAATGACTATGGATTACGAAAATACAGGATGAAGCAATGAACTTCAAACTGTAATTTAGCTTTTTCAAGTATTTTAGAAATAGAGTTCAGAATATTCGAAGTTTCATCTGTAAAGAAGATCACATATTAAAACAAGATAGTAAAAACTGTTTACTATTATTAAGTTACTAAAGCAGTGCCTGCTGTTTTTAAAATTTGAATAAAAAGTAAATAAATTATTTGAATTTACACAGACAAATTTGCTTAAAATATGAAAAAAATGTTTCTTGACTCAGATTCGAACGTGGGCCATTGGTGATGGTCAGCACTGGAGAGAACAGGATTTCCCACTAAATGCCACTGAAGGAATAGTCACTGTTCTAAAACCATTTACAAAGAACTTTGCAGAAGTTGCAGTAATTAATCAAAGATATATTGGGCCACCTTCACAGACAATTGCTCTCATCACACCTGAAGGAGGTAATGTTAAAAACATTAAGCTGACTGGTATTATATATTTTAAAAGCTATATTTATATGTTGTTCTAGTTATTTCTAGATAAAATGATGAACAAAAAAAGAATTTTCACCTGCCTATTTAGTTTTATTTTCTTAAAGCTTATTTGTTGTCAGGTGTTTTGGTCACATTGTATGTTGCTATTTTTAGACCAATGACTAGCTTCACCAGTTTGTTTTAAGTGATATATAAAGTCATTTGATTATGTGCTTGGTCATATCTATAGTTCCTGGAGCAGTGGCCAGCTTCAGTGCCTACCCATTAGGCTTTAATTCCCTTTACTTGATCTGGAAGAAGCCTGATGAGGCCAATGGTATTTTAACAGGTTACAAAATCTTTTATAGTAAAGGTAAGTGATAAAAAAAAAATAAGATTTTGATTTTTTTGTCACCTTCAAGAATACAGTTTGAAAATCTACTGTTTGTAACATAACAATTTTATGTAGATAGTGTGTATGTTAAAAAATAGATTTAAATAATAAAATTCAAAATACATTCCAACACTTTCCTACTTTCATTATTATACAAACAACTTTCTTTTCATAACTACTACAATAAATATCCAATTCTTTCTACAGCATCTATCAGTTAACTCACTGATGTTTTGTGTAGTAATTTTTCCAGAGAAATATATGCTGAAAATGTTTACTCCTCTGAACAACACATTTGTTACAAAAGAGAAGATTTTATGTAGAATTCCATGAAATCATAACAATCATTTTTTTTTTAAATGAAAATACAAGATTGGTGAATGAAGAACAAAGTGACAAATTTGTAGTATTTCTTAAAATATAATTTTAAGAAATTATGAGAAAATGAATGGAATAACATGAACATTAGATGTCATAGAATAATTCTACTATAGTTATAATCAGTGGAACCACATGAATTTAAGGAGAATAACTATACTGTTGTTATAATCACCAAAACAAACTTAATTTATGCCTATAAGTTCAACAACTTTAAAAATTATATAATAATCATAAGAACAGGTTTGAGCTTTTAAGTTAATACTTGTGTTACTGTATATTACTTTAATAGACAGATTTCATGTTTTAAGGAAATCGGTGCTAAGAAAATAATAGGTTAGATTAATAAAATATGCTTTTCAAGATGGAAATAAAAGAAAGTTTTTTCTTAATCTTTAATAATTGCACTGCTAATTCTTTACAGTAAATGGTACAATATTAGGAATACAAAAGGAGCACCTACCCCCACTCTCCAACCCTGATGCAACCAGGCTTAAGTTGACAAATTTAATACCTCAAACCAAGTATAGAGTCACTATTCAAGCCACTACTCAGGTGGGAGCTGGAGAACCACGCTATATTGAAGTGATGACAAGCACTGAGGATCATAAAGGTATATTATATCATAAAGCATTATTGAGTGTGTAGGCATTGTTTTGGATATAATAGAAGTAAGACTCATGATTTCAATTAAGTTTCTTATGTTGTTTACTTTATTCTGTGGCCCGGCATGGCCAGGTGGATAAGGTGCTCGACTCGCAATCTGCGGGTCACGGGTTCGATTCCCTGTCCCACCAAACATGCTCGCCCTTTCAGCCATGGGGGCGTTATAATGTGACGGTC